GCCATTGAAACCCTATGGAGGAATCAACACTAGGACAACTGGTTTTTAAAGGAAGTTACGGTTATTTCTTCTCCTTAGCAACCACTTTACTGCCCAAAACAAAACCCAACTCTAATGAGCTCAAAGAAACTGTCCATTTATCTGGGAGTGGGTCATAGAACAATGAGAGAAAGCAGTTCCACCTTTTTGCCCAGGACAGAGAAATACATTTGCCTATTCACTGCTACCTGCCCTGATTCAGTTTTGTTACCTGAAAGGGTTTCTAAGTTCTTCTGTGATATAATTGAGTTGATTCCTGGAGAGAGAAAAGTAACATGAGTATAAGGACATGATGCTAAGTGAAATAAATCAACTCACATAAGGACAAATATTGTATGATCCCACTTTTATAATAAGACAAATAGAGATGTATATACAAAACCAATATTCTTTGGTGGTTACTAGGGGTGAGAGAGTGGGGGAGGGAAATCACTCTCTAGATTGGGAAAAGTAGCACTGGTTATGGATGTAGTGAGCACAGCTTGACCGAAGTAAACGATGTCACTAAGAAGTGCTCAAGAGAAAAGAATGTTTGTACTAAAGAATTTGACATATATAATTTGGCAACAACACCACCACCAAAAAACAAGTATATGATCACATATGTATGTGTATTGGCTTAATATGGGTATAGGTAGGTACAGGTGTGTGCATATGTGTGCACGACAGAAGTTTCTATATGTGCATGTATGTACAGATATATGTGTTCAGGCATATATATTCATAGAAGACACAGTTACAAATAGATACTTCTCAGACATAACCAAGAACTTTGCAAGATTGTTATCCTGGGTTTGAAGGCTTAGGACTTTTGTCTTATGGAACAGCTCAGTCAACTGGCATAATATAGTTTACAAAGTTCATGTTCTACATCCTAGTGAGTTGAGTAGCACTAGGGTCTTAAAAACCTGCAGGCAACCTTCTAAGGTAACTTTTGGTCTCTTCTCATCAGGAGCAAAAGAGAAGGAAACCCACAACTCAGAAAACAAAGTACTAATAGTCTACATGAACCACAGCCTCATCTTCTCTGAGACCAGAACTAGATGATGCCTGGCAACTGCTACTGACCAGTCTGATCAAGACCCAAATAAATGGGCCTGATAGGGTGGGAGAAAAATGTGGATCAGAGCTCAAGTTCTTAAAACGTCCAGACTTACGAGACTGGTTGAGACTAGAGGACTCCCTGAGATCATTGCCATGAGATACTGTTTCAACCTTGAACTGAAACTAGGGCCCTGATTCTTTAAACCATGAACTGAAACTAGCTCTAGAACAGATTGGCTCACAGAATAAAGAGTATCACCTGTGAGTACTGTGCTCCTTTAAAAAATCATCTAACACCAAATGGTCAACAATTTCTCTAAAATAAAGATGAACATGTAAGGGGGCAGCAAAGCTAAGATTAATGTAAATGGAACAACCAGAATGGAAATAATGAGAATGTTCATGCATTGTGTAGAAATTATGTAGAAATTTATGTAGAAATTGTTGAATAGCATAAAGTGCAGTGTAACTGAAAATGCAGTAGTATTTGGGGGGTGGGGGGAGATTCTCCACCATAGAGAAAATTCTGCAAAAATACCAGAGCAATTTCTTTCTGGTGACTGGTGGGAAGTGAGGCTTTACCCAAACCCACACAACCAGAAATTGATCAAGTCTTTGCCCTTCGTGAGAATTGCATGAATTTTCAGGAATAATTGGGAGCAAGTGTCCAAATCACTTTGAAAATAGAAGATTTCATTATCTGCAAAGGTATTGAAATCTTCAGATGCTTTGGAGGAGGGAAAGACCAACATCACTGATGGCCATGGTTCTTCTATAAGAAACAAAATAAACAGCATCTCGTCTACTAAACTGAATATTTTCAAGGCTGGAATAGAAGTGCTACTGAATACTTTTTGCCTTGCCAAGTGCGTGGACAGCTCTGGCTGCCCCAGTTCTACTGAGCCTGTCTTGGCCTGGAGAAGTCTCACCAAAGCACCTGTAAGGTCTGTGCCACAACCAACACTGAGAAAGGGGCAAGTGGCTTTGTGCTCAGAGGGGAGTAGAAGGGTGAGGGGATGGGTGCTTAACAAAAGGGAGATCTGAAGGTGAATTTTAGGCCCACACCAAACCCCAGAAAGAAGAGTGAGCTCATTGCTTTCCAAATAGTTTCAACTAAAAATGGCTAAAGAAACCCACCACCAGACTCGAGACAGCTTTCCAGGAGTGTCTTACCATCCGTCGTATGCCCAGAGTCCATTATAAAATGCCAGACTGATGGCTCCCACAGACACTTTTGAACCCTCAAAAGAATTTTCGAAATTCTTTGTATTTCCTGTAATTAAGCCAAACAGTGGATAGCAGGTGTCAGCTGACCAGACTGCAACTTTGCATTCACCTTCATGTGACAGAGGGTATGGCTCATAAAAACGGATGCAAAAGACACTTTCCATTGAGTTCCTGCCTTGCTTCCTTAAAACAAGAGTGCTTCGACTAAAAGGAGGTCTGTGCCTGTGTGCTGCCCGCCCTCCCTGCCTGCCCAAGATCACCTTGGGCCAGGAGGACCATTCCACTGATGACAATGATGGCCACGATCACCATCTTGGCCGCCGTGAAGATGTTCTGGACATAGCTCCCCAGCCGCACGCTCAGAGCATTAATCGTTGTGATGAGCACTGGAGAGAGAGAGAGGTGGGAAAACATTCTGCCTTTATGGTTTTCAGCATTGTCTTCCTTTTTAGAAGCCCTGGGAAGAGTCTTCTATTCACCGTTCTTCCCCACCCCCAACCTCCCATGGCCAACACTGCCAGATTAATCTGAATGTTGAGAGGGCAAATCCGAACAAGGGTGTTCAAAAACCTTTAAAATGCACCTAATGGTAACCTTTGAAATCAAACGGGGCTGCTTCAGCGATGGAGAAGCAGCCAGGCACTGCCTGTGCAGGATGCTGCTGGTAGCTCAGCCCTCGAGGGAAGAGCCTCTGGAGCTTCTCCAGGTGGGCCCTCTCCTCCATCGCCCCTCAGCCAGCCAGAAGGGATGGCAAGTGACATGGGGCCCTGGGCCAAGAAAGCTCTGCCTGATTATCACCAGAGCCTCTGGGCCCATAGGACCTCTTTCTAGAAACAAGGAGCCTAGGCTAGGGTCTTGACATTGTGCAGGGTTTCTGCTGACTCCCACCTAGTTTTGTTGGGATACTCACTGATGGCAGCGGCGCCCAGACACTTAACCACGACCTCAGGAGGCTTACAGCCTGAGTAGAAGGGCGCGGAAACATACTCAGAGAAGCTGAGGCAGATGATGGCAAAGGAGGAGGGCTTGATGACGAAGAGGCTGGTCCAGGAGAAGAGATAGGCCGGAATGGGCCCAAAGGCCTCCATTAGGTAAGGATACTCGCCTCCTGACTTGGTGATCGTAGTGCCAAGTTCCGCAAAGCACAGAGCACCTGGAAAAGAGCAATGGCCCCAGGCCCTCCTGAGAAGTGGCCTGGGCTGAGGGCACCTCCCTTCCTGGGAGCACTGCTCCCAGGAGCCCACCACCATGACCCTCTCATAGGATGGCCCTGAGTCCTGGCCATTGGACACTTAGTCACAGCCCAATTTACACTTATTTGCTGCATATACATTGGCCTGGAACAGCGACAGCAAGGCCAGAGCACAGACAGTGGGCAGGTGTTTGCCCCTCCCCCATACAGCAGGGAGTGGGTCTGTTACCCAGTGTTGCGAGAATCCCACAGGCTGCCCATATGATGAGACAGGGCCCCACAGCCTCCGTGTTGCTGAGTACAGACTTGGGGGAAATGAAGATGCCAGAGCCAATGATGGTGCCCACGATGATGCAGATGCCGCTGATGAGGCCCACCTAGGGTGTGCAGGAAGGGAGAGGAGGGTGAATGAATGCCGCTGCCCACCCAGAGTTTCGGTTTGATGCCCTGCTGAGAATTTTCCATTCCACTCCAGATATACTGAGTCGGAATCTGCCTTTTAACAAGACTTTATACATAAGAATAACCAGGGAATCTCAAAATCACCTGGGGATCTTGTTAAACTATAGATTCTGATTCAGTATATCTGGGGTGGAAACACAAATTCTCAGCAGGGGGCTGAACCGAAGTGAACTGGTTAAAAGCCCCGGGCCCACCGCTAGCAGGGTGGTGAGTGTGGCCAGCACAGCTGCAATTGAGGTACTTTCACTAGCGCTTCTGCCGTAACCAGCCTTGTTCCTCACAGCAGCCCCAAGAGGCAGGGTACATTTTACAGAGGGGAAAACTGAGACACAGAGGGTTAGGTAACTGCCCGGGTGGACGTGGCTCAGGTTCCACACTCCTAACTACTACCTTTGCTGCCATCATCAAAGGGTCCAGTAGGGAAAGGCTGACTTAGCAAACAGGTCACCAGTGACAGAGGCCCTTCTTGGGACACACCTCTTTAGCTGGGCAGAGTAGAGCAGAGCTTCTTCACCAAAGCAGAGAGAGAGATCAGGGCTTGGAGTCCCGGTGAGCAACAGAGGCCTCTGAGGGCAGAAATACCGGGGATGGGGAGCTTCCTTAGATGTCATTTTGTGTGAGTGTTCTAAGAATAAAATCTGGCTCGGGCACACACAGTGTGATTCAATTTATGTGAAGTTCAAGAACAGGCAAAAGGAATCTATGGTGATAGAAATCATGGGTAGGGGACTGTCCCGAGAGACTGGAAGGAACTTTCTGGGGTGATGCACATGTCAGGCTCAAACTGAACACTACAGATCTGAGGGTTTACCTGTATATAAACTAACTGAAGAACAAAGCCTTTGCAATGGACTTGATTCTCACTCATGGCCCTCTCGTGTATTAGAGTGACTGCTCCATAGGGTTTTCTCGGCTGTAATCTTTTTTTTTTTTTTTTTTCTTTTTATTGTGATTTGGGTGAAAGTTTACAGAGCAAATACACTTTCCATATAGCAGTTCACATACACTTTGTCTCATAACATTGACCACAATTTACCACAATGCAACATCTCTGCTTCCTCCCTATAGTTACCTCTTCCCAGTGTCCATCCCTCCATACACTCCTGCCTCCTGAGCTGTCTCCCTGTGCATAAGCAGCCCTTCTTTCTCCCATGCTTGTTCTCTCCAAGGAGTGTATCTACCTCAGGTACATGTTCAACTCATATGCCTGTCCACTGTTTGGCTGGAAGCCACAGGTGTGGGTTCAGTTTCTTGGCTGTAATCTTTATGGAAGCACATCACCCGCACATCACCAGGCCTGTCTTCAGTGGAGGCGCTGGCTGGGTTCAAACTGCCAACCTTTCGGTTAGCAGCTGATTGCAAACTGCTTGCATCACCCAGGGACCTATATAAACTGTTGTTGTTGTTAGATGACGTCAAGTCAGCTCCGACTCACAGTGACCCTATGTACAACAAAACAAAACACTGCCAGGTCCTGCACTTGCCTCACAGTTCTTGCTATAAGTCAATAAACTATGCATCAATAAACTATAAATAGAAATTATATGTCCATAAAAAATAGTTTTTTTGAAAAGGAGGAAATGTCTAATGTGCATGGCCCTAGTTATAACACCAGCTCTTGGAAGCCACCGAGGTCTGTTGGAGAACCTGAGGTCAGGGTGTGTGCTTGCCTGGCAGCTCAGAGGCTGAGCTCAGGGTGAGAGCCCAGAGGACCAGGAAGACCCCATCTGTGGACTTGCCACCCGAGGGATGTGGCACATAGTCTTGTATTACCCAGTAAGCAAAGTAAGCATGGGCTTGCATATGCTTACTTACCAGTCAACAATTTCATGGTTTTCACCACATCAAAGATCAAAGATGTGGTAAAACTCATGTGAAGTTGTTTACTACAGATTAATAAGTAAACACGAGTAGGCCCATGCTTACCTTGCTTATTGGGTAATCTGCCCCTGGCCACACACAGTGGGGTCCCTGGAGAGTAATGCCAGCTCCGTTTTGGGCCTCAGGGGAGGGCCCAGGACAGTCTCAGCTCTGCTCTTTTCTTGTTGATTTTGTTTATGTGGTTGATTTGTGACTTAGGAGACCCTGTGTGTTACAGAGTCGAATTGCTCTATAGGGTTTTCTTGGCTGAAAACAAAAACATAAGAAACCCCTAGCCTGTTCCTTCCATTGAGCTGCAGGGTGAATTGGAACCGTCAGCCTTTTGGTTACCAGCCACTTGCCCCTCCCTGGGACCTTAGCCCTGCTCCCTTAATGGTTCTAGCCTCCATACTTCCCTCTTCAGGGCTGACAGCTTGACTCCCCTCCATCCCTCCAGAATCCTTCCTCCTGCTGAGCAACTGCCTGGATTCTAATCTGGGTGAGGTCTACGTTCACCCTGAAGCTGCCTAGCTGAGTTAGGACACACTTGGACTTACCTGTGCTGTGCTTTTTGTGTGTCCTCGGGTTGGCGAGGGCATCACTAGACTCAGTCAAACCCGGCCCTTCCTGCCTGAGACTGGCTGAGAGGGAGGGTGTTGCTCATTGCCTGACTCCAAAGATTCGTTCCTTTCGAGATGTACCTTAATAATCCGAGATCACTTCCTTTTGTTAGTCAGTAGGATTAGCGGGGACTTCCCTCTGTCTGGGGCTCCTCATTAAAACACCCCACTTCACCTGTGAAAAGCCCCATAAAAGAAAACCGCCTTACCTCTTTCTGGAGACTTGTGGTCTTGGGTTCATTACTCTGGATCGACTTCTTGTCCTCTCTCCTTTTCCTCAGGCTTGTCTCCCCCATTTTTCTCTCCTGCTAGTTCCAGGAAGCTGCAAGGAGGGCATGGGCTAGGTCTCAATTCAGCAAATGATCCGGCCAGTGGGAGCTTGGCCAGGGCTCTTCTCAGCTGGTGCCTCTGTGACACGGGGACAGACTCCAACGGCAGATTATTAGCTCAGGTTTTTGGCAAGTAAATTGTTAATCCCTTAGTAATTTACTCAGTCCCAGGAATAAATATTAGTCACTATCTTCATTCTGCTCAGGCCCAGGAAATGGAGCTTCCTGGGTTCTTTTCTGTATCAAATGTGTGTCCGCCTCTCTCCCACCAGCCTCCAGCCCCCAAGCTCACAGGCTTGTTATGCCTCTTAGTCTGCAACAGTGACATGCTTGAAAGTCACTTTAACTCCATGATCTAACTCGATTTTTTCAGAAGTGGGGGGGGGGGGGCCAGGGAATCAAGTCTGGGCAGTAAATCTTGTTCTCATCATTTCTCCCCCAAGATCTTTAAGACATCTCAAGCATGCTAGATCCACAAGATGAGTATTTTCTGACTGAATATATAAGGAATGAAAAAAAAAATATTCGGGAAGATCACGTAAGGCTCCTTCTGGGCTGGCCAGGGGAGCGGCAGGTTTCCCTCACCCACGGCTTACCTTGGGGATCGATCCAGAGGAGAGACTGCTGACCTGGCCAACCACCTGTGTCTGCCCGGTCACACCCTAGGAATGGCCATGTCTTGTGCCCAGGAGTGGAGGAAGCCAGAAAGTACAGAGGTCAACAAAGGTAATTATTAAACACCTTTTGTTTTGAGCATAAACCTTGGATACACCTCACAAAAAGGAGAGGGTGAGGCAAGCTACTTTCTCTCCCAAAATGTTTTTGTTTAGTTCATTTCAGTCTCTACCAAATGTTTTCCCCCAGATTCCCCCAAATTCACTATGTACCTATAAAGAGAAATCTTTCTGAAGAGTGGAAATAATGCTTTCTAATATTTTTTGGAATCAGCGGCGTAAACTTTGGAACCAACTCTTTTATTACCTTAATAGGCTGTATTTACCCCTCGGTTAGCACTATTAGTAACTGCCACTCATGTAACTCCCCAGTCAGATGTTTTCCTGCCCACAGAGGAATTTCCTCCCAGAGTCCTCTGTCTGCTTTCGTGGTCTAAGTGAGCAGGCGGCATGGGGAGTGGGGCATTTTCACTCACCGTTGCCAGTGACTGGGCCATGACACCACTTGGAGCCACCAGAGAGTTTGGCAAGGCAGACACTGCAGTGAGGCCTCCCTCCAGGTCCCAGCTCAGTGTTTCCTGCAGCTCCTGCCCAGTCTGTGTGAGAGTTGGTGGCACTACTGGTAAAGTAGCCCAGTCCCAGGTCTGTAGTGGGAAAGGGACAAAAAACATCATCAAGTCCACACTCCCTTTTGCCTGATAGAGACATTAAGGTCCAGGGAAGGCCTGAAGCTCTGGCTCCACCAGGGCTGGTGGGTCTAACCCTCCTGCCCTTCTGATGGGGGGCTGGGGAAAAGAGGCATTCCACTGTGGCTAGAGCCAGGGAGCCACTCCAAACCCTTATCTCAGATAGGTCTTTCTCTGAAAGGCTCCTTATCAGGTGAGGATGGCTGGTGGCACATTGATCCTGAACTATTGTTGCTGTTATCACCACTGTGGCGGTTTTGTTGTTGTTGTTAAAGTATACATAGCCAAAGATACACCATTTCAACAATTTCTACCTGTGTTTTGTTGTTGTTGTTAAAGTATACATAGCCAAAGATACACCATTTCAACAATTTCTACCTGTACAATACAGTGATGTTCATTGATTACACTCTTCAAGTTGTGCTGTCATTCTCGCCAAGAGTTTTGAATTGGGGTAAATGTACTTGCATCCCACATATTCAGATGAGACCAAAGATCATGAGTCCGAGCTAGACAAGCCAAGGGGGTTCACTCTGGGAACGTTTTGGGGCAGGCCAAGCTGAGAGGAGGGCGAATTTCTCAGGGTTGTCTCCTACACCCATCTGGAGAATGGTGGAGTCTTGCCTCTCAGCCTAAGAAGGGTGAGCCTGCGCAGCAGGGTGCCTGCTCCTCAGAACCATGTGGGACGCTCATCTGCCTGCTTGAGACATGATCTGCAGCACTCACACACAGTGTCTGGACCGTCCATATTTATAACACACCACAAGAGTCAAAGTTGCCACCAGCAGGCTGGTATTCTGACAGAAACCACGTGAGGGGGTAGGCTTGGGCCAGGTAGCCCACCTCCAAGCCTCAGGGTCCAGATCTCAAAATGGAGAGAGTAACACCACCCCCACACCACTCCCACCCCAATTCATGAAATTGTGAGGATTTCCACAGGTTATGAATTAAAACTCCTTGTTCTATTAATTCAGTTGGACAGCCTGGGTCTTCTGGGCCCATGCCAAGTGCTGAGTTTGGAACCTCTGGGCATAAGGATCTTTTGTAAGGGTCACAAATCGACATGAGTTAATTTTCCGTCTGTGGTGAGCAATTCTGTTAAGTTTTGTGTTTTTTGTTTTTTCAGCAAAATGAATGCTCAATTTATTATCATAAGCTTTTTTTTTTCATAGAAAATAATTTGGATTTGATTTAAAAAAAAAACAAACATTTTTTTCCCAACTCTTCTTCAAGACTTTTCCTTTATTGTCTCTGTATCCAGCTTTTTCCACCACGTGACTGAAGTCTTACCTCATTGCAGCCAATTACAGTTACTTTCCAAGCAAGTTTCATGTTAGCTTTTCATACAACTCCATTATTTCTTAGGTTTCTGCTAAAACTCTTGACCTTCATTTTCAAACTGTGCTTTTTCCAATTGCAAATATGCTTGCAGTTTGAAGATGTTAACACCATCTGCATTTTCTCTTCTATTTTGGTATATGTTTGGTTTCCTTCTCCATTAATGTTTTCTCAAGGCATGTTGAACCGTTTCTCCAGAGCTCCTCTGTGCCAGGTATTGGAGCATCTCCTTCTCTGCCTCCCCTTCATCCATGTCAGATCTTCACAGGACAAGCAGAGTCTTTGGCAAACACCCAGGCAGAGACTGGCTCTTCTTTTCCTGTTTAGCACTTGTTCTGCCATGCGTTGGAGTGTTCAGATGCTTTTCTGTTCATTAAGTCTGGGGTTTTCCTAAAGAAAGGAGCAGGCCTAGGGGAGAGAGCATGTTCAGTAAAGGACTCACATGGCCGTCTTGCTGCCCAGGGCTCCTCTTCTGAATTTAAATGTTTTGTTCTGTAGCTCAAGGAGCTCTGGTGGTGTAGTGGTTAAGGCATTTGCCTGCTCACTAAAAAGTCTAGTTTGAACCCACCAGCCCCTCCACATTAGAAAGATGAGGCAGTCTGCTTCGGTCAAGAATTACAGCCTTGGAAACCCAATGGGGTCGCTATGAGTCAGAGTAAACTCAATGGTAGTGAGTTTTTTTGTTGTTGGTTTTGCTGCCCTGGAGACCTAATCCCACTCAATCTCCCTTCAGCACCTTCTCCTCAGTTTGGTTTTGATCTTCAGCTTCAATGGATCTTATAATACATGTTCACTTACCTATCTGAAAGGAGCTCTGGTGATGTAGTGCCTAGGGCATTTGACTGCTAACCACAAGGTTGCCAGTTCAAACCCACCAGCCACTCTGCAGAAGGAAGACTGGACAATCTACTTCAGTAAAGATTTACATGCCTCAGAAACCCAGAGGGAGCTGCTATGAGTTGGAATCCACTTGATGGCAGTGAGTTTGGTTTTGGTTTCCTTATACCTATCTTATACCTTCCTTATACCTATTGGGAGCTCTGGTAGCATAGTGGCTAAGACACTTGCCTGCTAACCAGACGGCTGGCGGTTCAAACCCACCAGCCACTCCTCGGAAGGAAAGTTGGGCAATCCTACTTCCGTAGTGATACTGCCTCGGAAACCCAAGGAGGGGTCGCTATGAGTCGGGAAACCCAAGGAGGGGTCGCTATGAGTCGGGGGCCGACTCGACAGCACATAACAACAACAACAACATACCTATCTGAAGTCCTACCAGTAGAACTCAGGAAGAGTCCGTTGGAATGTGCAGAGTCTTTAAATATCAAGGATTTACAGTCTAACATAAAACAATTATCAAGGAAACCAAGATCTTATCTTATCTGGGAAATGATCTATATCTATGTATATTCAAGAACAATTTCAGTAAAGCCATTCTACCTTAGAACTTTGTCCACCATTAGATGGGTTTCAAGTAATACATTTTTTTTTTCTCACAGATAACCTCCATGGGGAAACCAATGCTCTATTTTTAGATTTTCATCATTTTTTTCAAAACATGACTCCCCATCCTGCTTTCCTTAACCCCACATCTCATCACTGTTCATCAATTTTGCCCTTTTTTTAACCGTAGTGATCACACGTGATGAAAAGTTGAATTAGCTGGAGAGATCAGGGACAGGAGATTCTGAGAAGTTAAATAACTTGCTTATCACTTTTTCAGTGGAGGGCTTGTGGCCCCAGCTCAGCCAAGAGGACGCTCTTTACCTGGATTTTGTTTCCTGAGTGGAGAAATGCAGGGAAGGTTGACAGTGTCCAAATACTAAAATCCCAGTGGGGGTCGCTATGAGTCATAGTATGCACCCAGTGTGTTGTTGTTGTTATGGGCCATCACGTCATCTCCGACTCATAACAACCCCTCCTTGGGTTTCCGAGGCAGTATCACTACGGAAGTAGATTGCCCAACCTTCCTTCCAAGGCGTGGCTGGTGGGTTTGAACCTCCAGCCTTCTGGTTAGCAGTCAAGTGCTTTAGGCACTATGCTACCAGAGCTCCTGTACCCCGTGTATATTTCCAAAATGTTTCCTTTTCTACCTTAATGTTAGGCAGAATCAGATTCTGTTGCCTGTAACCTAGTCCTGGTATGATATGTGTGCTACACATTATGTTGTTGTTTGTTAGATTGAGTCAGCTCTGACTCACAGTGACCTTATGTTGTTTAGTGCCTTCCAACCTAGGGGGCTTGTCTTTCAGCATTATATCTAACAGAATTCTGTTGTGATCCACAGAATTTTCAT